TAGGTTTCCAAATAGCAGTGATGACACTGTACCTTCTATTTTTTCAAAACTAATGGAACCCCCAACTCAGCTGCCAGTGTGTGAAACTCACCCATCTATTGTCTCTATTTGTGAGTTATTGCTTCTCTAGCAAACAAGAAATCATCTAGCTAGTGCAGCTTATTGCCACTAATCCTTCTCCATTCCAGAATCAAACTAAATGTTTCAAAAGTATAACAGGAGGTAGAGTATCCTGTGGGACAAACATATGATATTCTCCAAAATAAAACCTATCAGATCAAAATCTGCCAGATGTACAGAAAGCAATATAAAGGCTGTGTTTATATCACCTATATGTCAACTTTCTATATTTCCTTCTCTTCTTCCCACCCACACACACCAACTAACATATTACCCAATGCGTTACCTTCTATCTGCCCCCTATCTTCAGCTATATTTATTATTTAGTTACATCATTTCTACCCTGACTTTCTCCACAGTGAGGACCCCAAACAGCTTACATCATTCTCCTTTCCTCCATTTATGCTTAATCCCTCTCAGATATGTGACTGGCCCAGGATTACTCAGCAAGCTTCTGTGGTAGAGCAGGGATTCAAACCTGGGCCTCTCAGATCCTATTCTAAAATTCTAACCTCTGTATCACACTGTTTTTTGTGTGGAGGGGCTGCTTTTGAAAGTAGTTAGTAGCCAGGCCTGGGTGAGTCATACAAATTGGAGAGAAACTGTTGGGTGCTCTTGGGCCTTGCTCCCAATGAGTTCACCCACAAAGGCCAAAACAGCCCTGAAAAGGGATTTGAACACAGGTCTCTCAGATTCTAATCTGAAACTCTAATCACCATACTATGCAGGTTTTTGTGTGGTGCCTGCTGTTGAACAGTAGCAAGCAGCTAGGCCTAGCTGAGTTGTTCAGGTTGCATGGTATCACATCACTTAGTGGTTTATGCCGAGCTTGGTACAAATGAGTCCTCCCTCAAATGCCTGAACAGCTCTGGAAAAGTCCCTGTTCCCTCCCCTGTCCTTTTCTGACAGAAACCAAGACTTGAAGGCTAGCAATACTGTTGTGATTTCCTAGGAACAGCCACTGAGGGCATTCATTTCTTAAAGCTACAGATGCTCCTTTTATCATTTGGGGGGTTAATCCCCCAAGATTTTGGGAGGGTTGTTTGTATAGATTTTAGATTTTTCTGCAAACCTGGGCATTTTCTCAGATTTGTAAAAAGATCTGTCTTTTCTGTACATGGCTCCAAGCTCTAGATTTAAGCATCCATAAGCAGGGCCACGTTAAGAATTATATATATTGATATGCAGTTCACTGTGCATCGTTTTTGGTACCATTCCTGACATGGTAGTAAGGGTGGACATGGGTAGACTTTCAAAGAAAACGCTATTTCTCGTGGCGTCTAGTTGCTAATTATCTAATACTGGGTCCTTATTTGAGGATGAAAGAATCTACATGGGAATGCCCTTAGGTGGTGGCTTCTTGGCCAGACCCACTTCTTTTGTTTAGCTTTGTTGGATCCCATGACAGTTGAGAGCAAATGTCTATCACCCCTTGCTCATAGTCTCCCCCCCCCTTCATCTAGAGTTGCCACGTACAGTTTAATCATAGATTTAGGAGGAAATGTCTCTGACGTCATCCCTAAAAAATTCCAAGGAGGGATGACAAGCCTGTACAACCTCTGACACATTTATTTTATTTTATTCAATTTATATTCCACCTTCCCTGCAAGCGGATTCAGGACGGATCACAGTAAGATTCTAAAACACATAAATGGTAATTTACAGAACAATTAAAAACCATTTTAAATAGCATAGATTTAAAAAGAAAAAAGAAAACAGGTAGCGCTATTTCACTATGTACATTATTTCAAGCTGGCGCCATTGAGATCTTATTGTTCCAGGCCATGTTGAGGTTTTTGTTGTTGTTCAGTCACACAGTCAAGTCCGACTTCGCAACCCCATGGACCAGATCACTCCAGGCCTTCTGGTCTTCCGCCGTCCTCTGAAGTTTGCTCAACTTCATGTTCGTTGCATCTATGACACTGTCTAACCATCTCATCCTTTGTTGAGGTAGTAGGCTTCAATTTAAAACAGGGAAGGCCAAGTTTTTTATTGGACGGTTGCCCCCTTAGCCAAAGGCCTGGTGGAACAGCTGTGTTTTACAGGTCCTTAAAGAACAGTTATAAGTCCCGCAGGTCCTGATCTCGGACAGGAGCATGTTCCACCAGGTTGGGATCAGGGCAGAAAAAGCCCTGGCCTTGGTCGAGGCTAAGCGGATGTCCCTTGGGCTGGGGACAACCAGCCAGCAATGAAAGACTTCAATGGATGATGCCTGCTTGCTCTGCCCTAGTGCGACCTGATGGGGGGGGGAAGAGTGGAGGGGCACACATAGGGTGAACAAAGGCCCTCCCACACAGGATAATTCTGAGCTCCATCCCACAGGAAAGTCTTCTCCTAGCCCACTCCATTGCCCAAATGCTACTGCTGCTGTATGCAGTGATGTGATGGCCACCAAGGTCTTTGCTTGGGTGCCTGGATATCACTTCTGTCCTCTCCAAGATTCCCAGGCAAATGCTGAGGTACACGGGGCACCCTGTAGCTTCACCACCATCAACATACCATGTCATGCCATGTCCTTCATACTTGACAAGGTAAGGCCAAAAATATCCTCCACTCCTAGGCAGTGCAGGGGCTAGGTTTGGCTATGATCTAAATTAACAGTAAGCATCAAGAACCATGAAGTCTGGATAGGTTTGCCATAATATGCTGTTGGAGAGACTAGCCATATTTTAACTTCATGGGATTGTAGCCCTTATCTTTATTGGGCATCAGGTTATTGTTTTAAAATAGGTGACCAGTAATCCATATTTTCATTCCGCATATTATGGGTACTTTTCACAACTGGAATAAATTAAGTGGTTGTTCAGCTCTATCACTGAAATCAATGGGACCAACAAGGTCTTCATTTTAGGTGAAATTATTATTATTTATTTATTTATTACCATGTTAAACTTGATTTGCAAAGTTAAGAGTCCCACAAACACATTGTGAAGACCATGCCAAATACCAGGCTATTAAAGGATTTGTAGGTATGCAAATTTATTACAGTAAAAATATTAATTTGAGACAAAGTTTAATGTATAATTCTAGTAGACCATTACTAACAGAATGTCAGCCTCTTCCCCTGTGGGTAGTGGATAGAGCAAATTACACTGTATTTCACCTTTCATGGTTTAATTAGATTTGAGGTAAGGTTTTATTAAAGTCCAAATATAAAGTTTAAACAGGCTTCTACTTTTATTGCATTTGTTCCTAATATAATTGTACTTTCTTAGCAGACAGAGTGATCAAGTATTATGAATTGGCTCAATTAGGTTCATTATTGCTGTAGTGTAAATGCTAAATGCTGTTTTTAACACTGATATTAATAATGCGACTTGTTTTAATGTCCATAATTTGCCTTAATGCCTAGCAGAGAAACCCCCAAAAAATGCTAATCTCTAAAATATCGGCAGTCATTTGTCAGTGTTCTTATACACAGATAAAGAACAGTGTTTCTCATATATTGTACTCTTTTCCAGTTCTACAGTCCAACCCTATGCAGACTTGCTCCCAGTCTAAGCAAACTGATTTCAGGAGGACTGCAAAGTTAACGTAGATCTCAGATGCCAATAACCCATACATCAGCTTCTCTCCCCATAATCCAGTCCCTATATTGTTCTCCTTCAGGGCCTTAAAGTCCCAACTTCCTTTTCTCTCATCACTGTTTCTGTAATCTCCAGCCCTGTCCTTTTCTACCTCAGGAAGAATCCTTCATACAGAGTTTCACACTGCTAATGCTTTTTCAGTGTAGCTAGGAGCTTAAACTGAAGAGGAGCAAATACCCTGCAGAACCACTGGAACAAGAAGATTCTCTGATCCAGTGCTTCCTATCAGAAACATGGCACAGGGATGCTGCTAGGGAAGGGCAGTAGAAACACTTGCTGTGATTCATCTCAACTAAAAATTCAAAACATGGGCTTTTGAAATGTGGGACCTGGATTCTTCCATTTGAAGGACAGGGTGTTGTTTTTAGAACAGGAACATTTCTGGGGCAGTTTATGTAGTCAGTGGCAGTTGGTATCCCCAAAAGTGGTAGTGCTCCAGACTCTATGCAGTTGACCTCTCCAGCTCCATTTACCCAAGATTTCTTTTGCCTCATGGTGGATTTTTCAAGAAAACTTTATCATACTTAAGTGATCTTTAAAAATCACCTTTTTAATACTAAATTTAGCTGGATGCTTAAAGGTAATTAAGAAAAGTGAACATTACAAATATTTCTGAATTTTAAAATAAATGTACTTATTCAGCTTACATGTTTCTTATGTTAACCTCATATAGAGCAGATACACATAGACTCATAGGTTTGGTGTTAAAGCTATAAGCATTTCTGTTAATTTTTTAATGTCAAGTTCCAACTGATTTATGGTAAATCCTGTAGGGTTTTCAAGGCAAGAGACATTCAGAAGTGGTTTGCCAGTGCCTGCTTCTACATAAGTGACTCTGGAATTCCTCGGTGGTCTCCCATCCAAATACTGACCAGGGCTAACTGTGCTTAGCTTCCAGGTTCTGATGAAATCAGGATAGCCTGGGCTATCCAGGTTGGGTTAAAAATTTATGGATAAATAACTGATTTTACCTTTTATTTCTTTAAAGTCCCTCCTGGAAATATGGCAGCCCGACCCCCATGACAGCCCAAACAATTCTAGTTGGGAGAATAGCAGATGGGGAGTGACAGATGGAGGATGCCATTACAAAACTACCAGTACCCTCCCATTAACGCCAACCATGGAGTCACTGATAGTCCCCTTGTTAAGTACTTTTCAATTAAAGTGATGTACTATGTAACATTTTCAGACCAGGGACCTAACCTGATTTCTCTTCATAGTTTGTCAATACCAGATCAGTTCTTAAAAAATATATTGCAGCACTTCAGGGTTTTTTTAATTCATATTTTTCAGGGTGCTGGGTGCACTGCACTGGTGGTAGCTGTGGTTGCAAGGAAATTAGAACTTACCAAAGCTGAAAAACATGTGCATAATTTCATGATGGATACCCAGCTAACTAAAAGAGTAAGTTATACCTGTTGACTGTTTTATGTTCTATAACGCTTCATTTTCTTCTTGGAACATAAATGGTTTTATGAATTCATCTAGCAAAGGGCATTTTCAGTGCAATCCTAAGCAGAGTCAATAGGCTTAGAAGGGTGTAACTATGTTTAGGATTCCACGGCCAGTGTTCAGTCTTCACATCATCTTTGAATATTTGGTCAGCTGGTAGCAGAGTTGATAATATTGTTATAGAGCAACATGATGGAAATAAGCTGATTGGGAAATGAATTAGACTCAAGTACAAGTACCATCACATGCCAGTTTAGTCTGACTGTTTTTCCTTTGATTGACTAACTTTCCCACAGTCCCTCAAAACGTTATTGAGAGAGATTTCATTTGTTAATAGATAGGAGAAATTTACTGTATCTGGACTGATGTGATGAAACAGCTTTTGAGATAAAAGAGTTTGTGAAAAACAGTCAAATTATCGTGTATTCAGCATTTTAGTTACACTTCTTATTGCACACAATTATTTTTATCTGCAAGTACACATTGAGCATGATCTAATCATCCAACTGTATCTTGACATCTCTTCTATGAGTGGTAAATGATCCATGACCACACAATGCAAAGGGAAAATGTCTGCATATGAGTGAACTGTGGGGGGAAATCAGCACATTCATCCAAGGTATTGCATCGCAGTCATAAATGTATGCATCTCGTGGTTCCCCATAGTTGCTAAGGGACGTACTAAGCAGAGGCAGAGAACAGAGACAGTTATGCATTCACTTTCTATAGCATCCAATCTCAGGAGAAGTCATTATTATAAATATTTGTAATAGATACAATGTGCCAGAGAAGACGCAAAAGGGAGATAATGCTATTGTAGTCAGCCTGGTGTTTTCTTTTGTCAAACAGGTGAAAAATGCAGCTGCCAATGTACTCAGGGAAACATGGTTAATTTATAAAAATACAAAGCTGGTAAAAAAGATAGACCATGCAAAAGTAAGGAAACATCAGCGGAAATTCTTGCAAGCTATTCACCAGTAAGTACACTTTTGGTATGTCTTTTTTTCTCCCAGTTAGGAATACTGCAGTAATCAATCAAGATTTGATTTCCAGCACAGATATTTTAGTTCTGCTGGTATGGCAACTAACTATCCCAAACCTACCATCTCTTTGATTTTCTACCTAATTTGCTTTCTGTCAAGGAAAAAAAATATTGCTGTCTGAATGTGTACCCAGGTGTGCATCTGAATGTGCCTCCCATTGAAAGAGAACGTTACCATTGACATTTACATGTGTATTCAGAGGCATTCCAGTGTGCAATGGCTTTATGTCCATTGTAAGTAAAGACAAGACTACCCAAGAAACTGCTTGGAGTTTCTATGAATATCTGAGATGTTGGGGTCCAAAAGTACAAAATTACCTTGAAATAAATGGACCAGTTTCATACATGCCTACTCCCTGTCTTTCTAAGTACAGTCCATGCCCCTTATGCAAAACTGATCTCTTGAGAATGAATTCTCTTTGCTATAGTATATCACATTATATAGCACAGATATTAATGTTAGGGGTTTGCATCTACAAAAACATTCACTGTAACATCAGCTCTCGGCTTGAGGAGGAGGGATTACTGTGATTTTGGGATAGGACATTACTGGTTTGGGATTCAAATCTATGTGGTTTTGGGATTTGGGACCATTATTTTCAATGGAGAATCTATATGAGGGTCTGGGGCAGCTGTTTATTTATTATGGAGGATGTACTGAAATGAATGCCATGAATGCATATTGGGAACAATGAGAGATGCTTGAAAGCCCATTGGATATAATGGGAGCCAGGAATGCTTATTAACTTGCATGGGCTCCATTGAAATGCGAAAATGTGGAACAGTTGCAGTGAAAATGTGGAATGGATTTCAAGAAACCTGCCCTAGACCTGGAAGCATCCAGAGTGGAATGAGCAGTGTTCCCTCTAAGCTGTGTGTATGAGCGGCCACTCATTAACACAGGAAGCCCCGCTCAGCAGCATTCTGGAGCCACACAGCGTCTTGCACTGCCCATTGCCCATTTTAAGATTACAGCAGTTATATTCTGCTTATGATGTGAACTGCTCCCCTCAGTAGGGGGGAGTGGAATTAGAGGGAACATTGCCTGAGAGTAAAATAAAAGTGTTCTGGGATGGGAATGATAGCCCCCAGAATGGAATGACAGCCTCTGGGGGTAGCATAAGTGTTGTAGGATTGGACTCAAAGATAAAATGTACTGGGACTGGAGTGACCACTCCCAAAGTGGAATGACATTCCCATGGAATAGCAGAGGTGTTCTGGGACTAGAATGAAAGAATACTTCTACTGTCTCCAGGGACCAGCATTCCATTCTGGGCACTTTCTAGTCCCAGAACACTTATGCTACCCCACCCAAAGGAGGGAGGGAAAGAGAACTGTGGCTCTCTGTGGCTTGTTTTCAAAGCTGATTGGATGGAAGTGCTCTGTGCTCCTCCCTATAAGGATCCAATCAGAATACAGTACTGCCATTACTTAAGAAACCCATAGAATGTAGGAAAGACATGAGCACACACTGTACCCAGCTAGCAGCTCCCGAACTTGAAAACAACACAGATTTCTTCAGGAAGGGTAGTTTAATTTCATCTCAGATTCCTAATACCATTTCGGAAAAACATGGTAATGACTCAAAATACCAATTTCTGTGCATATATTCCATCTTGGGTATTTCATTATGAACACCCCTATTAATTAATAAGCTGTTAGAATTTTCTCGAAGGCTTTAGGAATGTCTGAGTCATAGCTTATTTTGTTTGCTATCATTCAGTAGTCCTTTGTTATAAGGCAAATAAGTCTGATAATTACTAAACATTTCATTATTAAAATTAACTTAAAATTAATTCAGTTTTTGAAATCAAGGATTCTAACACCATGCCAATTTTAGCAAAATATTTTAATCATTTCATATTGCAATGATTAGTTCATTTACACATTAATAGTATTGCTGCATATTATGCTTATTGAAAAGGTGGTAAGAGAATAATTTGCTCCATTGTGGCATATCACAAAATAAAAGAATAAGCCATATTTATAAAGATATATTGAATAATCCATGAATTGACGAATCCATGAATTAATGGATACCAAACAGATTCCTCATGATTTCCTTTGCAGAGTGGCCAGAATCTAGTGTTTGTTAGGCCAGAGGATGCCAGGAAAGCTTGGGCCACAGGAAAGTGGTGGCAGACAAGAAGTACTACAAGAGTCTCCCCTCAACCTGCCTGATCTGTGGCAAGCAGAGAGACCTCAAGGTGGGGGAAGGGGCTGTAAGAGAATAAAAGGACTGAGCCCAGGGTTATACAGGATAAGAGGGCCCATGAGTATGTCCTGTCTGGGACTATACATCATAATACTAGAATCTGGGTTGCAACAAAAACATAAACAATGTGTATTGCATCAGTTGTTGTAGATTTTCCGGGCTGTATGGTCGCAGTCATGGCATTGTAGGACGTGACGTTTCGCCAGCAGTTGGGGCTGACATCCTCAGAGGTATAACACAGAAAGATGGAGTACTCTCTGTGTCAAGGTGACAAGAAAAATGGTAGGCAGGTAAGTTATGTCTACTTAGGAATTACCATGTCAGATTACACAGGAAAGCCATTGAAATTCATAAACATAAACACAATTTCTACAGGAAAGAAGAGAGTTTAAAAATAAATAGGGCATGGTTTCCTGTCCTGAAAAACACAAAATGCTCTACATCTTACAACAGCACTACAGATAAGATCAGAATTCAACAGCCAATCCATATGCAAAATAACCTCCTTAGGAAAGCTCCTCCATTAGCATGTCACAGCCTGGGGAATTCCGACAAGATAATGACTCAGCCCTACCCCACCTTCCTGAGTAGATATAAATTACCTGCCTACCATTTTTCTTCTCACCTTGACACAGAGAGTACTCCAACTTTCTGTGTTATACCTCTGAGGATGCCAGTCACAGCTGCTGGCGAAACGTCAGGTCCTACAATGCCAAGACTGCAGCCATACAGCCCGGAAAATCTACAACAACTGATGGACTCCAGCCATGAAATCCTTCAACAACATGATGTGTATTGCTTTTAAACAATCCCAGGCAGGAGTTTTAGGTCATTGTGTCGTCTTCATTGAGGATCAAACTAGAGATTACAAAAGAAATCCATGTTTAGGATGATGTGCAATTTTTAAAAAGCTAATTAGCATCTTCACATGGTTTATTTGAATAATGAGGAAGGGTCATCAACTCTTTCCTCCCATGTTTCTTCAATAATTTAAACTGCCCCAGCAAAGCTAATTGCAGTTTTGCAGGAGAAAATATCTGGGTGCAAGTGCTGTACATGTTTGGTTTATAGCAGAGATAGGGGAAAAATAGAAGAGTGAATAGCAGCATTGGGAGAAACTATTAAAATGGTGGGATCTTTTTATGAATTGCAGAAAGTAATCCATTTGTGTTAGATTCAAATGCATAATTTACATGATAGCTGAAAGATGCAGTCTTAAACATGTCTGGTAGGAAGTAACAGCCATTGAATTCAGTGGGATTTACTTCTGAATGAACATGATTTAGGATTAGGTAGACGCTGTTGTGAGCTATCACGTAATCAGTCCACATAAACAGTCTTCACAGTTCATTATCTCTGTATGAGTCTGCATGGAATCTACCCTGCCTGACAATAAAGATACCAAAGGGATACTGATAGGCAAGCAATGTGGTGACTATCATGAGATGGTTCTCATTTAAATTAGAGTATGTGACTTTTAGTTTGCTTATTAACCTTACTTTTTAGGTGCTCACCGTTAGGAATATTTTGAACTTGTTTTTGTAATATATTTTGTAATATATTTGGATTTTTTAACTTATTTGATAGGAATTTATCCTGCAAATAAATAATGCCGCTTTACACCATTAATCTGAAAAAGTGCTGCATAAGGTTATAGATCTTTATTCTGCATCTGCTATTGAGTAAGAAAGTAAAACCATTCCCATTATCTTTCCCTGTCATGCTGTGTCAGCATTCAGTTTTACTGATGGCTTTTCCTTTGTCTGGAATCAGTTGACCCAGAGTCAAATAAATGGGTAAAATTAGATGCTGTATACTAATAAAATAGAAATGTGTCCCATGTCTTTATCCAGTCATACTCTGTTGTATCTTTAGAATGCTAATTTTTATTTATATATTATTGAGTCCAATGTATTTCTCCTTTTTATCTGACAATATATTCTTCATCCACATTACTTCCCCCCCTTTAAATCCTCTTATTGTTTTTTTTTAAACCTTCAATACTAGTCCAATAGTACTAGTGAGTTAGGAAGAAATAGTTTGTTCATATAAATCACATGGTCCTTTAGTGTTAGCATTTGACAAGATGTTAATATTTCATGGCTCTCTAGTCCACCCATGTGTGAAAAGCAAGGGGTGGGTAGAAAGTTGTGTGTATATCATACTGTGTTTGCATCAAGGTTGTATGAGGAGACATTGGCTACTTTCTGACATTGTAAAATGTGGTACAGAAGCTGAGAATTGACTGATATAAACTGATACTACTGATCTTACATCTCAGTTGGACTCAACCATTATTAATCACTATCCCACAGAATGCTATGAGGAAAATGTGTGAACTGCAAGCTACCCAATGGAGCCCATTGCGTTCACATGAAGAGCACCCATTGTGTTGATTTGTTTTAGTCTGTTTTACAGTTTCTTTTCTTTTGTTTTGTCTTTTTATTTCAACAATGAAAATAGAGCTCGGAAGTAAGTTGTGTGAGCTGTTCCTTTCAAATTTGCAGAATTTACCACTGTCTGCATGCAACAAATGGATCCTTTATTTGTGAATTTCAATAGTCTGGTTGCTGCTGTGGAACTGCGATCCAAAGTCATGAGTTTCTTCTGTGATAAGTGAAGTTCATAAGGAAGGAATTAGAGCACCAATATTTCTTAATTTACAGAGAAAGATCTGGCCAGTTTCACTCTTAATCTGACTGCTGCAGCTAAGAAATGAT